TGTTTGGGGGGGGGGGGCAGCGAACAGGAACGACCATAGCTCGCGGATCTTCTTCCATATCCAGATTGCTTCAGGGCAGAAGAGGAGGCAGTCGGGATGTCTTCGGGTGAGTCATTGCTGCACATTGAGCAGCATGCCAAGCTATCAGGATCAGAATGTTTCCATCTCTCGTGTAACCATTGGTTGACTGGCAGGGCTGCATGTGCTATTAGCCATTGCATACTACGGATTCTACTTGGTCTGATGAGAAGGTACTTGGTCCATGTGATGGTGATGGGGGTCGTGGTATCTAGGTTCAGTATGGTTCTCCATTTCTCTGCCACTCTTGAATTTGGGTCCCTGGTCTGTAGTCCGAGGTTGTACCCGAACTTTACATCATATTCTGTTATCCTTCTCGATTTACTGGCGGCGCCCAGATCCCAGATCCATTCCTCCAACTCGTTGATGCTGAGTTCCGGATGGAATATAAGCCAGGGTGTCTTGTGAGAGACTCTAACCTTCCTGAGAAGGTAGGTTTCTATTTGTTCGTTCTGTGGTGTTTTGTTTCGGATCTCTAGTTCATATAAGCCGTGTTTGATGATGGGGTAGGATACGAACTTGGCCTGGTAGTTGATCAAGTCCGGTTTTGACACAAAACGGTAGTCTTTCGTTGGTGGGGTCTGTGTGATGAGCAGTCCCCGGTCTCCTGGTTTCCACGTATGTGTCTTGTTTAGGAGGGTCGTCCATGGGGGGGGGAATGCTTTGGAGGATTTCGGACAGGTTGGTGGTCAGTAGATGGCAGCCTTTTAAAGGAGTGCGAAGTTCCTGCGCGGTGAGGCATTCTTGTCGTCTTCGGGCCACAGATGTTTGACCTGCCGTACTCCTATCTCCACCCATGACAGCCATCTGCGGTCTTTGGCCCGGAGAGTCCACGGTCTGCCCTCTGTGTCTTTGATCCAGGGATTGCAGAACACGGGTTGTCGTAGGACTTCCTCTTTGTTGCTCGGGGGGGCTTTCTTTTCTTGCATCAGTCGGCGCCAGGTCTTCAGGATCGGGGACCAGTAGGGGGTGGGTGTAGTGGGGGGTTGAATGGGGGTCATGGGTTAGTTTTCCTTGCTGGTCTCCCTGATTTGATTGTCCATTCCTTTGCCATGATCCAGAATAGGCCACTCATGTTCGGTGGGGTTGCTGCTGGTGCCAAATTCCTTATGCTGTCTATCGTCATTGCGGTCCACGGGAGGGCTTGTTTGGTTAAGATTTTGATTATCCATTTGATTTGGAGGGTGATCGTTTCCTGTTTAGGGTCGATTATACCTAGCCCTCCTTGTGGTTTCCTGATGACAGTTTGCCAAGCCACCTTGTTTATGCAGGTGGTTCTGTTGGGGTCGCTAGTCCACAGATAGCACCTGGCTCTCGCCTTCAACTTCTTCAGGTCGTCGTCGGGGGGCCACCATATGGAGGCCATGTACCACAAGGTGGAGAATATTGCTGTGTTGATAATCAGGGCTCTCCCTAGTAGGGAGGCCCGGGCTTTGTTGCAGGTGGCTAAACGGGTAATTGGTCTGGCGAGTAGTGACTCCCCCATCCCTTGCCAGATGTCGTCCCTGTTTACCATGATGCCTAGATATCAAAGTGCTTGATCGCCTGTATTCCAAGACAATGGGGTGGATGGGTCTAGGGGTTGGGGGGGGGGTGCCTTCTGCGAGCCACCACCCTTCCGTTTTCAGCCAGTTCACCTTCATTTCTGAGGCGAGTCTGAAGGCTTCCATTGCGCGGGCCAGGGCCTGGAAGGAGGAGTTGTTAGCGCGGATGAGGACCGTGAGATCGTCTGCGAACATGTGCAGTGGGGAGAGCAAAGTCGTGGAGTGGGTTGTAGTTTTGTTCGGTGAGGCGGTCTATGGATGGGTCCTTGCGCAGGAAAGATGCAATGGCTTCCATTATGAACAAGAATATTGGGGGTGCAAGGCAGGGTTGTCAAGCCCCGGCCCCGGGGCCCCGGCGGGGGTCCGGGGGTGGGCACCCCCAACCACGGCTCCGGACCCCCTCCCGAAAAAACAAATTCAAAAAAAATTCAAAAAAAATTCAAAAAAATAAAATAAAAATAGTGGGGGGTGCGCAGCGAGAGCGCGCACCACATGGGCTAAGCCCTAAAAATGGAGTTTTATGCCCCACCCTGGACCCCCCCCGGGGCCACACCCACCACTCATGGGACCGGGGTAGCTGCTGGTGCGGGGGACGGGGAGCGGGGGCGGGGGGGGGGGGGCGGGGGGGGGGGGGGGGGGGGGGGGGGGGGGGGGGGGGGGGGGGGGGGGGGGGGGGGGGGGGGGGGGGGGGGCAGGGGCGGGGGTGTTTTGGCGGGGGCGGGGGTCGGGTAGCCCCGCGATGGGGGTCCGAGGGTGAAACCCTTACCCCGGCTTGGGCCCCGGGGATCCCCGCGTGACAACCCTGGTGTAAGGGGGTTGCCTTGCCGGACGGATCTCGATATCGGGTAGGTTTCTGACAGTATTTTGTTTATCTGCACCCTACCCGTGACATCCCCATAGAGTACTCTAACCCATTCTCTGAAGTTTGGGCCGACTCCCATCTTCTCCATGTAGTTGTGGAGGAAGTCCCAATTGACTTGATCGTACGCCTTTTCAAAGTCAAAGAATAAGATCACCGCTTGCATTTGTTTTTCTGTGATCTTCTGTGCCACCTCGTTTAGAGCCATCACGTTATCCAGAATGTATCGACCCGGGATGAATCCTACATGGTCGATGTGAAAGCAACTATCTGTTAGTTTTATGATTCTGTTGGCTAATGCTTTTGC